GTCGTCTCCCCCGTCAGATAATCCTTTTAAAATGTAGCTTTCATATAGGATTCACCACAGCTTAATTGGGGAAGAATTGGAACGTTTCATAATACCCTAAATTAATTCATCATCTTCTTATTTTTTCATCATTTTTGTCTTTTATGTTTTTTTTTTTTTCAATAAATTCTGGTGTTTTTTCTTTCAAAAAAATTAAAATGTAGGTTTTTCTGGAGATGCACACACACCTATTTTTATTCTGAAGCTGAATTCAGGCATGTTTTGGTTTGTTTAAAAAATGTTTGTGAGCCGGGCGTTGGTGGCGCACACCTTTAATTCCAGCACTCGGGAGGCAGAGGCAGGCGGATCTCTGTGAGTTCGAGGCCAGCCTGGGCTACAGAGTGAGTTCCAAGACAGGCTCCAAAGCTACACAGAGAAACTCTATCTCGAAAAACCAAAAAAAAAAAAAAAAAAAGTTTGGTTTGTGAATTAGGCATAGTGGCATATGTCTGTAATCCTAGCCCTTAAGAGGTTGAGGGGAAGCTGGATGGTGGTAGCACAGGCCTCTAATCCCAGCACTCAGGAGGCAAAGGCAAGTGGACCTCTGTGAGTTTGAGGCCAGCCTGGTCTACAGAGTGAGTTCCAGGACAGGGTGCAAAGCTACACAGAGAAACCCTGTTTTGAAAAACAAACAAACAAAAAAAGAGGTTGAGGGAAGAAGATTCAGAATTCAAGGCTAACTTGATTTACAGAGTGAGACTCTGTCTAAAAAAAAATTGTAGGATAAACAGAAAATTCAAGAATATTTTATATAAACTTGTATCAGCACTATTTCATTGAGATATGAAATCAAATTATATTTCCCTAAAATTATAAAAACTTTTAGCCTGGTGGTGGTGGTGGTGGTGGTGGTGGTGGTGGTGGTGGTGGTGGTGGTGGTGGTGTTGCACACCTTTAATCCCACACCCAGGAGGCAGAGGCAGGTGGATCTCTGTGAGTTTGAGGCTAGACTGTTCTACAAAGTGAGTTCTAGGACAGCCAAGGCTACACAAAGAAACTATCATGAAAACCCAGAAAAAGAAAAATTATTAGTTGGATAACATGCTTTCAAATATTAATAAATGTGTATGACTATTTTTGCTGGCATATATGTCTGTCCATCACAGAAGAGAACATCAGATTCATTGTGAGCTGCCCTGTGGACACTGGGAATTGAACCTGCGTCCTCTGGAAGAACACTCAACGCTCTTAACTGCTGAGCCATCTTTCTATCTCCAGATAACATGCTTTCAAAAACATTTTTAATTTAGACTGACAATTTTATATCTATACATAATGTATCTTGATCAAATCCACTTCTGCTCCCTCCCTTTTCCCTGGACTCTCCACAACACCCCTTTTTTGCTAACATTTTTTTCTTTTCATCTGTTCATGTATTTTGTGTGTATCTTTTTGGAGGGGGCAGTTGTGCTGCAGTATACATCTTGAGGTCAGAAGACAATTTGTAAAAATTTATCTTTTTCCTTCCACCATGTGGGTCCCAGGGATCAAACTCAGGGCTTTCTGGCTCAGCAAGGGCCTTTTTCTAAGGAGCTCCCTTGCTGGCATCTATTTTTTTGAGTTTTTGTTTGTTTGTTTGTTTTGTTTGTTTGTTAAACAGAGTTTCTCCGTGTAGCTCTGGATATCCTGGAACTCATTCTGTAGACCAGGCTGACCTTGAACTCAGAGATCCACCTCCCTCTGCCTCCCAAGTGCTGGGATTATAGGCATGAGCCACTACCACCTGGCTTAATTTTTTTTTTTTTTGAGTTTTGAAACAGGGGTTGGCTATGTAGCCCAGGCTGGCCTTGAACTCATGATTCTCCTGCCTTAGTCTCATGAGTGCTTGATTACAGGAGTGTACCACCATGCTTGGTTGATAAGATGGATTTTTATTTAAACAGATCTAATTAATTTCTGAGGGAGGGGGAAGGCAGTGATAAGTTTCATAATTTCTGAGATTGCTTTTAGTAGTTTGACATTCTTATCTTGCTGAAGCAGTGTGTGAACCTCCCGAAGTCACCAAAGGAAACAATAATCTTGTGTGAGAGTTTTCCTTTGCCTGAAGTGGTCACAGCCAAAATGATCGAAAATACAGCTTAGTATTGTTTTTAACTTAATTTCTCAGCACAGCCTTGTCCTATATTTGGTTTGAAAGAGAAAGGCATTTGTGTGTACAAACTCATGGCAGCATAGATTTCACAGTTGCTATTTTTATATTTTTACAATATCTGTATCTTCCACGTTACGGAGCCAACGAAGAACTACAAAATGTCCTTGTGTTACCTCTGCTAATCTTTTTCTTGTTTGTTTCTCTGCGACAGGGTCTCATGTAGCTCAGGCTAGCTTTAAACTCACTAGCAGAGGCTAACCTTCAGCTCTTCATCCTTCTGCCTTTACCTCCCAAGTTTTGGCATTATAAGTGTGCACCATAATGCCTGGCTAAGACTATTTTTTTTCTACTTTATTTGTGTTACACAACACCTTCCAGTATATGAGTCACTAACATAATGTACTCTAAAGACAAGACATACTAAGAGCTGCATGTGGCTGTGCAATCTATAACCCCTGCATTTGGAAGGCTGGGGCAAGAGCACGTCCTGTGTGAGACCGTGCTGGGCTGCAGAGTGAAACCCTGTTGCAATAAGTAAATACAAAAGGTATATAAGACATCCTGTTAGCTAAAAAGGATTCCTCTAGAGCATGCATTCCTCTAAAATTTTCAGTTCATATAAAGGATGGGTTTGATTGTGGGATTTTAAAAGCCTTTTTAAAAGTAATTATTTTTCAAGCCGGGCGGCGGTGGCGCACGCCTTTAATCCCAGCACTCGGGAGGCAGAGCCAGGCGGATCTCTGTGAGTTCGAGGCCAGCCTGGGCTACCAA